GGTAAAAGCCTTCGGGAAGCCAGTCAGCCGATGTGCCTTCTTTCGATGAAAGCAAAAATAAGGATGGAGACGTGGAATATTCGTACAATGTACGAAACTGGAAAGGCTGCCCAGGTAGCCGCAGAAAAGAGGAGATATAAAATAGAAGTGTTGGGAATCTGCGAGAGCAGATGGAACGGATGTGGAAGGAGACAACTACCAACTGGAGAGACAATAATCTACTCCGGTCACCCAGAGGACAATCACGAGCACACCGAGGGAGTAGCCATCATGATGTCACCAACAGCAGCCAAAGCTCTCATGCAGTGGGAACCAATCTCCTCCAGGATAATGACAGCCAGGTTCAACTCAAAAGGAAGGAAGGAAGGTTACAATCATTCAATGCTATGCGCCTACAAACGTCTCAGAACAAGAGAAGAAGGAGGCATTCTACAGACAACTACAAGCAGTAATGGACAACGTCCCAAATGGCGATATCAGAATCCTGATGGGTGATATGAATGCGAAGCTGGGAGGAGACAATACAGGAGGAGAACTCACCATGGGTCGCGAGGCCCTCGGTGAAATGAACGACAATGGTGAACTCTTCTCAGACTTCTGCGCCTTCAATGATTTGGTGATTGGTGGCAGTGTGTTCAAACACAGGGATATACACAAGGCAACATGGATTTCACCAGATAGACACACCACAATCCAGATAGACTTCATTTCAATCTCAAGGAAGTGGAGACGGAGCCTACTGGACACAAGGTCGAGGAGAGGAGCAGATGTGGGTTCACACCACTATCTAGTACAAGGGACTTTCAAGGTGAAGCTAAAAGCCTCGAGGATAGCTGGGGATAGGCCACAATGCAAGTTGAACACGCAAAAACTGAAGGACACAACCACAAAGGACACTTTCACTACAGCTGTCAGAGCAAAGCAGGAAACACTACGTGACACCACGGAAGAATCATCCGTGGAAGACCATTGGAACTCTCTGAAGGTAATTTTCAACGAAACGTGTTCAACGGTTTTAGGAAGAAAGAAGAAACAAGACAAGGAATGGCTCTCAACGGACACTTGGAAGCTAATAGACGAGAGGAGAATAGTGAAAGAGAAAATGATTCAATGCAAAGACGGACAAGAGAAGGAGACGCTGAGTTCAACTTACACAGCACTGGATAAAGAAGTGAAGAAGAGTGCCAGGAAGGACAAAAGACAATTCTACGACAATCTGGCCACTGAAGCTGAGAAGGCAGCAGGCAAAAGGGACCTGAGGACATGATATCAGATAACCAAGTCTCTATCCGGGAAGAGATCAACACAAGTGAAACCTATAAAAGACAGTCAAGTGAACCCTATTACTAAGGAACAAAGACAGATTAAACAATGGGCGGATAACCTCAAAGGACTCTTGAACCGACCACCACCTGCAACCCGTCCAGAAATACCAACAACAGCACGTACACAACTGCAAGTTGACACCAATCCTCCAACGAAAGCTGAAGTCTTGAATGCAATCAAGCTTCTGAAATCTGAGAAAATCGCTGGAACATATGGAATACCCCGTGACAGACTGAAAGCTTTCCCAGATACGACGACAGATATGCTGACTCCATTATTGCAAAAGGTCTGGAAGGAGGGAAAGGTGCCTACTGACTGGAGGAAAGGTTACCTCGTGAAACTACCAAAGAAGAGCGACTATGGGCTCTGTGAGAACTGGCGAGGAATCATGCTCCTGTCGACGCCAAGTAAAATCCTGAGTCACATCATCCTGGAGAGAATGAAGGATGCGCTGGATACAGAACTCTGCCAGCCCCGAACAAGCTGGAGTTAGGAAAGGCAAATCATGTTCTGATCAAATTGCAACTCTACGCAACATCATCACAGAAAAAAGCATGGAATGGCAATCAAACCTCTACCTCAACTTCCTTCATAGACTTCGAGAGGGCCTTGGACAGTGTTGACCGCAAAGTAATTTGGAAACTACTCAAATACTACGGCGTACCCCAAATATTCATCAACCTTATTCAACAGCTGTACGACAACGGCACATGTCAAGTGATCCACAACGGAAAACTCAGCGAGGCGTTTGGAGTAAATACAGGAGTCAAACAAGGGTGCTTATTATCACCAATGATGATATTCCTAATTGTGGTGGACTGGATTATGCGTCAGACAGTGGGAAACGAGAAGACAGGGATATCCTGGACCGACGTGAAGAACCTAGAAGACCTGGATTTCGCTCGTGGATCATTTATGTTTGATGTCACACAAAATCGAAGACTTACAAGCGAAAACCGTCAAACGGGTCGAAGAAGCAGCGAAGACAGGACTCCAGGTGAACATAGACAAGACGGAGGTTATGAAAATAACCAACCAACAACATAAACAACAGCAGCAACATCCAGCGCCAATCACCATCAACGGGAGGCATTTGAAAAAGGTTACTTCATTCACTTATCTAGGGAGCATTGTCTCAACTCAGGCAGGAGGAACGGACGAGGATGTCAAATCGAGAATCGGAAAGGCGAGAAACACACAGAAGCAAGTGGATGCGTGCAGTTGAAGCCCTATGTTTCACTAGGAACCCTAATGGAACAATAGTAATAATAGTTTTGAGGATGAAGATGTATTGTCGGGGGAAAGTACTGAGACACAAGTAAAGTATGTCCCTGTGATCAACTGCAATCTAAGTTTACTAATTCTCCCTTCTAGAGAGGGAGATATTGCATCCTTGTATTTGTGCAGCTGAAAATAGACTTCATTGGGTTGGTGAATGTCTTTAATTGGTTCGCTTGTGACTAGCTTCAAATAGATATTTCATCAGTTACGGGACAGATCTATGTCAACCATTTGTCACTTTATGATCACTCTTCATTTTTCTCACTAAAAGATTCACATATCGCTCTAAATTCTCTCCTACAGCCTTTTCGGATGGCTTGAGCTCATGGTGCAACATACTCTATCTCTTAAACCCATCCTACAAACTGTCGTATTCTGTGCCAAGTCGTAAAGCATCATTAGTCAGCTGGTGAATGGGTGTTTGTGGTGTCTCATTTAACCACAATAGTCAAATTATGTACATCACCTCTGGAATGTCTGAGACCCATGATAGCCGATTCTTGTGGTCTTGTATGTTTAGACACACCTCAAAGTCCCAGAGCAGGAAGTGTGCTGGGTGAATTAGTTTCGGTTGATGGTTGCATGTGTACTATACTGCGGTACTTTTAGAACTAAGAACGATTGTCACAGACTCATATGTCTTCTCCCACTCTCCCCCTACAATCTCACTAACTGCAGCTTAGATTCATCAAATGAGATGTTCCACGGACAGTATGTCGTCTGTGATAAAAAGCCAGATATGCAGAAACGTTGATCATAGTGATTGAAGGGGCAGGTGGACCCATATTACATCAACCAAGTAACTGAATTATCAGTGTAGAAGTTAGCCCAAAATTTCAAATTTACACACACCTTCAAGGCACTTATCGAGGAAGAAGTAATAAATGCGATTATACTACAATAAACGAACGTGTGGGCTGAAGGTTAATTACATAAAGACTAGTGAGGGTCTTCGGAATCTGGAAGATGACAAGGAGTCAATGCATGTACACCATTGAGGACACGTGTCCTAATCACCTCAATCGGTTGAGCTTTACAACCATTTCGATTCACTCTCCTCCTTACCTAAGGCTACATCTAACCTCATGTCACAATGCATCCAAGTAATGCTTAAACAGAACCCTATATGACTATCAATGGTGAACCATCACTCCAGCTGTTCCCAAAAGTCTACTTGTTTCGGCCCAGCATTAGGGCCAATTTTGAAGAATTGACAGATAGGACGACACTATGTAACTCAAAAAATACAACAGTGGGTACGAATTGATTTTTTTGCATCCAATTATTTTTGCAGGTCAATGAAATATCATAGGTATTTTAGAGTATATGCAGGGATATTGACCTTCCACTGATCTTTACTTGCACATCCATATGTTATCGGGTTGAGGAAGACTACACTTGGGACAGGTTTTATGAGCTCAGCCCAGTGTTGTGGATTTTTAAGGTGTCACCTATGCACTCGGTTTTCTCTCTACAGGTAGGTGTAGAGCAGCATCATCAACCATCATTTCATTTGTGTGGCTGCTGTCCTGCTACATGAGAAGTTCGTTCTGGATAATTGAGTACTAGCCAACTAACTAGCTAACTAGCTTAAACTAACTAGTGATCATGAATCGAGTAGTCGAAAGTGCCCCAAGACGTGTAGCTGAAAATAATCACTTTGCTCAGCTTAAATAGTTCTAGTAGCATCTCCAGTATGTTGTCAGATTAGTGGTGTATATGCTTTGAATGACCTCTGAAAAATGAGTGATTATGGACGTTGAACGTCGACAGCTTCTTCCTAACCAACAAATGGACGAAGAGTCATTCCCTCACGCCTTATTCACTAATTGTTCCACTTTTCAAGAAGAGAAGGCAAAACACTTGTAGTACGATGTTAGTGGGATTATCCAAACTGGGATATTCTATAAACTGATGGGTTTCATAACCGGGTGAAGCTTAACTTGGATGGAGGGACTGCTTGAGTGAAACCATACAGTTCACACACCTGACCATATGAGACCATGGAATACAGGTGCATTGTCCTATTTGAGTATACAGTTCAACCTCATTAATGGAGAGATGTAATGGTTATTGTATACTATACTATTGTAGTAGAGTTCTTGTGGTGATTCTATAGTGCCTTTTATTTGCATTGGTTGCCTAGTTAAGAGACTTTACCTCACTAGTGGCTGGAAGTGCATGACTCGAGTTGCCTATAATTTCTCTTATTTCGTTTAAAATAGTTAGGTAGTTGTGTTATTTTCATAATTAATATTTCCAGTATATCAGAAAAATAAACATCAGTGACTTCTTTTGATTGGAAATTGACGATGACTGAATGGAGGAACTACAGTAAATTCACTTTTCTCATTCTGGAAGATAATGTTGCTGACTGCTGTTCAGCATATTTCATGAGAAGATCATCGTGTTATCCTAAACTGTTTGGGCACTTGGCTTCTGTCACAGTTCACGAAAGTTCAAATGTAGGTTCAACAGGCCATGTGTGGTTTTACTAAATTCGACGATTACACAAATCGGTAACAGTAAATAATGCTGTATGACTTCATACTACGTGAAATAAAAGTTTCGATTATAAAATTATACTTTGCTGTACTACATTGTCTACGTTCTGTGCCTACATTTACTTGATTTCTACTTCCTATGGAAAGCGTTTGCAGTAACTAATACTGTACTATACCTGATACTGTGTTCTCTCCTGTCTCTTTCCGTGTGTAGATGGTTACTCAATCGGAGCAGTCGATCCAATCGTCTGGAAACAAGACAGAATTAGAAAAGTATCAACCATCGTCTGGGGAAATATTCAAAACTGTTTTTATCTCTCTGTTCTACTTTGTTGTGACTATTGTTATTGGAGTGCCTTTATGGTGGAAAACAACTACGCCATATCGTCCCCATCTACCTTACTCTGAGATTAGTGAGTTAAGCTCACCACCAATTGATATCACTGTTCCATTGAGTGTGTAAAATGTGTTTTTTATTACTGCTTTGATCTAATTTATTTATTTTCAAAATACTCCTGACATTGCTTTTCACCTGATCGGATTGAATGATTTCTATTGCACAGTTAGTGAAAAGGGCTGTAAAGAGATTGCTGTCTTCATGGTGAGACGCCAAATGAAAATGCATCCATCACCTTCTTGATGACATTGAATTCAACTGCCTACTTAAAATTATCAAGTGATACTGAGTTGAAATCAGACGGAATAAAACCTGTTCTCCCACCACCTTCACTTGCAATGATACTTCAAACGAAAGTAACAAGTCTGAGGAAAGACCGTGACATCAATGGAATTTCAGGTCAGGAGTAATAGAGTGGTAGTTCTAAAGCTAAATATAACAGCGTGGAGCGTAACATTGACTGCGAATCTGTGTTATACATGCGGGAGTCTTATGTCTTGGGATATTATGAACTATCTCGGTGTCAGCAAACAGATAGTAACTTTCATCCAACCGATTGTATATGGAGAAGACTGGACTTTGGAATTACAAGACACACTTCACGAGAAGAAACACAAAGGATGCATAGAGTAGGTAATATCGTCGAGGTAGTACCTGCAAGTGAGAAAATTGGTAGGGAGAGATTTGGAAAGATGGAATATCAAAAGTTATAAAAATGTTTTTTCTGAAAAGTAGAAAATAGTCATACTTCTTATGGACTAAGTGCCACTTGACATTTCTCTTTTAGGCCTCGTTTCCAGTGAACGTGATGTTATTCTCTCATGGTATTTTATTGTGACAGGGGCACATTTCAAAGAAGGTGTGGACAGAGTTGATACAGGTTCATACACTTAAGTGTGACCATCATCATTCACACCATAGGACTATGAGGTTGGGTAAACGAAGGCCACTTATTGTTACTAATCAATTTCTGAATATAATTCTCTTCGACATGCAACACTAGGTATTGTCTCATTCAAAGTGACACGTTTATCCTATTTCATGTTACTGGAAGTTGACTTATTGTGAATTGTGTGTGTGAGTTTGTGTGTTGTGAAGCAAAGTATGCTCATCTTCCCTGTGCAGCAAGATTAACAGGTTTCTCTTCATTGTACATATTGAAAAGACAACTTGCTTACACTTATCATCATGTTTTCTCTATAGATCAGGATAGTTAATTTTCATGCTAAAGTAAATGATGGTGATATCAGTGGAATCAGTGACATGTTCACTCAATTCAATATGGAACAGTTGGACAAAGTGAGTACAGATGTTACTGAAAAATTGTACATTAATAATCGTGTTAAAACAGAACAAGCTGGTCAATCAGAAATGGAGGCATGAACACATTCCCTTTCAGTGAGTAATAATATTGACGAGTTTTCGTCTCACTTTGAAAAGGATTTCAGCAATTACTGAAGGCAAGTTATCACCGCAGTTGATATTCATCGATGTGCAAGTTTCATGTAGAAGCGCAATTCGATTAGGTTTATTCACATTAATGGAATACGTTAGTCAAGCGAGAACAATCAACAAACCGATTGGTTTAGTTAGAATACGTTTAGTTAAGTGAGAAAAGCTCACCTAGTCTCAGCGTATCGATGTTGATAAGACCATTTGCTTGATTAGCTAGTTTGGGATCGTGCATGAACAACCACCCAGTGCAATATTATAGCGTGACACGAGTTGACGTTGCTTGACTGACTTGTTGCACGACATGACTGGATCCTTAATGACAGCCGCTTATTTAATATTAGATTAGAAATTTTAATCAGAACAAGAGGGGACTGGCAACAGAAGTGCTATCGTTTCTCCATTCCAACCTATGTTCATACGAACTTCATATGAGATACTACCATCGGAAACTTAATAAGCTCAGTCAAATGCAATCAAAAGACAACACTAAGTTATCTGATTCTTAGTGAGAACTTGGTTGCACACACAAGGAAGTCGTTTGAGTGGTGTATATTGCGACTAGTTGGACTTCTAACGAGTAATTGTGACTGTGCTGTATATCATAAACTGATAGATGTCAGAATTCACGGGCCAGCAGGGTGATAAATTTTTGACTTGAGTGCTTTCGGACTCTATCCCTTCAAAAAGTATAAACCAACACTGGTAAGTGAAGTTACCTCATATCTTGAGGTTGCATCGGATTTCCATGTTCTGTTTCGTTTCGATGCCTGTTGGATAGAAATTGCATTGGTTTGGTAGAATTGCATAATACTTACAACTCGGTGGTGCTTTCTACGCGCAACATTCACCGATACAGCACCTGGTAATAGGGGGAAACTTTACCAGTTGCAAGAACTTTTAAGTCTGTGAAATAGTCTTTGACTCGGACGCTATACTTATTAACAACCCTCACACATGTCTGAATACTTTGAGGAGGGATTCAGTATTGCTCAAAACCCTGTTGAAGTTCATGGATTAATTCACCAAATTGTGGACATGCATCGTAAGGCTGGCTGAGCATGTGGTTGATGTTTTATGAATCTATGAAGTTGTCTGATTGTTGTTGTGAAGATAACCTGTGAGATTTCTAGTCGTTCGAACTTCATTGAGTTAATATTTCTCTCATGCCTATAAAATATGTTCTTTTTCACCAAATACCTCATACATTACAAATCATATTGCATCTAATTGCTCATTTCCAATTCATTTTAAATAATTATATCTTATTCAAATATGTCCTCTAATCGGATTATTTATTCTCGCGAGTATTTAATATTCTTAAAACCTACTGATCGTAAATACCATAAAAAAGACAAAAAAAGCATCATGCTGGGTGGCAAAGAGCCTTAAAAAGTACCCTATTCAATTTGTGACTGTTCCTGCAATTATGAGTACTAATTGTCGCTCCCTGCCAGCCAACTGTCTTCAATCACTCGTGTCTTCCATTATATATCGAAATACTGGGATCATACCACTTCAAGAAACATGGCTACATGATCTATACGATGACAATCTAGTGTATCTGCATGATTTCAAATTATTCAGACAAGATCGGTGTAGTTCTAGGAAGAAACGTGGTGGCGGTGTCGCCATCTTCATCAATTCACAATGGTGTACATCTAATAAAGTATGTTTCAAATTCTCTAGTGACAACATTGACTGTCTCACCGTTAAATGTCGACCTAAACATTTGTCAAAATATAATTACATCTACATCTCGAACATTTATATTGCGCCTGGATGCAATTCCACTGAATTGTTTTTATTTGCGGATGAATTTACCCCCCTTGCTGCCACCTCCTTCGGAAACTACTTGACTATAGTTACTGGAGATTTCAATTCTAGTGATCACAGCTTCCTTGTTTCACTTGGTCATGATAACATTGTCAATTTCCTGACTCGAATGGAAAATACCCTAGATCTTGTGTTTACAAATGACATAGGAATATTTGAAGCACGGAAAGAGCCCCACTACTTAATTGTGATCACTGCATCATAAGAATACTGCCCAAAGTATATGGAAAGCAGCACAAAAGGGTCTTCTCCTACCTTGGAAAGAAAACACAACACAGATGTTATTCACATGACAACATACAGAATCTAAGGACAATGTTAAAAGACACAAACTGGGACCTGTTTACTGAACAAGCTCTCGATAACACAATTAGTAACATAACACATTATCTTAATTTCTGTATTGATGTTTTTGTCCAAAAGAGACAATCTTCTTAAAATTCGACCGCTTCTCCTCTTCTCAACTCAAAAAGCTTCGCCGTGAAAAAGAGAGGTTGTACAAAATGAAAAATAAATCTGGTGTTAAGAGAATGAACACTTTGATTAAAGCCGAATTACAAAGACTAAATGCTCTCTATAACCAGAAGTTTCTTTCATGTAAATCCTCATCTAATATGTGGAAGCTATTAAAGGAAATCACAGGTGGTAAGCAAATAATGAATGATACTTCTGTTTATGTTGTTATGCTTAATAAATCCTTCTTATATATCCCTGCAGATGTAGTGATTCCCAAATCTAATAGTATAAATAACGACTGCTTCTCATGTTTTAACACGAATGATGTCCTCAAGTGTCTTCAATCTCTCAAACCTACTCAGTCCCTTGGTCCTGATGGAGTTCCTGCTGTTATCCTTAAGAAGTGTGCTGACATCTTATGTTACCCATTAACCGACATTTTCATTGAATCTTTTTCCAAAAGTATTATTCCTGACTCATGGAAAAATATCAAGGTTGTTCCAGTGCCTAAATCAACAAGTGGACCTACTGTTAAGTTTCGACCGATTGCTATTACCTCTCCTTTTTTAAAAGTTATGGAAAGACTTATTTTACTTAATCTTGAACCCTCTTTAAAGCCTTTCAATGACCCCAACCAGTTTGCTTATAAACATAGTAGGTGTACCTTAGATGCCGCTGTTGTTCTATATCATAATATAGTCTCTAGTTTAGATAGAGGAGCTAAATATGTTCGGTGTGCCTTCCTTGATTACATATCTGCATTTAACTCTGTACCTGGGTCTCTCTTGCTAAGCAAGCTTGCTGCAACACAGGCTGAGAGCTGGACAAATAAGTGGTTATTATTATTATTACTGTTCCCTTGAGTTCCTAGTGGAACATAGGGCTTCAACTGCACGCCTCCACTTGCTTCTGTTTCTGCTGTATCTTTCACTTGCATCCATGTTAATCCATACTGTTTCAGTTCCTGTTCACACGATCTCCTCCATGTCACCCTTGGACGTCCCACTCGCCACTTCCATTTCAGGTTCCACTCGAGCTATGGCCTGACGCGCGATGTCACCCAGTGGCCTCCTCAGCGAGTGTCCAATCCATCTCCACTTTCTCCTGCATATTTGTTGAGCGATTGGTTCTTGTTTTGTTTGTTCCCATAGTTTCTTGTTGGTGATTCTTTCCGGCCATCTGATCTTGAGTATAGAGCGAAGACAGTTGTTGATGAAGGTCTGAACCCTGTTGGAAATATTCCAAGTTTCTGATCCGTATAGAAGAACTGACTGACTTGACGTTTGTATTGAAAATCCGAATCACTTTGTTGTTGATGCTGAGTGACGAAGATTTCTAGATTGGTTTCAGGTTGATGAATGTGTTTCTCGCCTTCCCGATTCTCGATTTGACATCCTCGTCCGTTCCACCTGCCTGTAGTTGAGACAATGCTCCCTAGATAAGTGAATGAAGTAACCTTTTTCAAATGCCTCCCGTTGATGGTGATTGGCGCTGGATGTTGCTGCTGTTGTTTATGTTGTTGGTTATTTTCATAACCTCCGTCTTGTCTATGTTCACTTGGAGTCCTGTCTTCGCTGCTTCTTCGACCCGTTTGACGGTTTTCGCTTGTAAGTCTTCGATTTTGTGTGACATCAAACATAAATGATCCACGAGCGAAATCCAGGTCTTCTAGGTTCTTCACGTCGGTCCAGGATATCCCTGTCTTCTCGTTTCCCACTGTCTGACGCATAATCCAGTCCACCACAATTAGGAATATCATCATTGGTGATAATAAGCACCCTTGTCTGACTCCTGTGTTTACTCCAAACGCCTCGCTGAGTTTTCCGTTGTGGATCACTTGACATGTGCCGTTGTCGTACAGCTGTTGAATAAGGTTGATGAATATTTGGGGTACGCCGTAGTATTTGAGTAGTTTCCAAATTACTTTGCGGTCAACGCTGTCGAAGGCCCTCTCGAAGTCTATGAAGGAAGTTGAGGTAGAGGTTTGATTGCCATTCCATGCTCTGTTCTGTGATGATGATGCGTAGAATTGCAATTTGATCAGCCCATGATTCGCCTTTCCTGACTCCAGCTTGTTCGGGGCTGGCAGAGTTCTGTATCCAGCGCATCCTTTATTCTCTCCAGGATGATGCGACTCAGGATTTTACTTGGTGTCGACAGGAGCATGATTCCTCGCCAGTTCTCACAGAGCCCATAGTCGCTCTTCTTTGGTAGTTTCACGAGGTAACCTTTCTTCCAGTCAGTAGCCACCATTCCCTCCTTCCAGACCTTTTGCAATAATGGAGTCAGCATATCCGCTGTCGTCGTATCTGGGAAAGCTTTCAGTCTGTCACGGGGTATTCCATATGTTCCAGCGATTACCTCAGATTTCAGAAGCTTGATTGCATTCAAGACTTCAGATTTCGTTGGAGGATTGGTGTCAACTTGCAGTTGTGTACGTGCTGTTGTTGGTATTTCTGGACGGGTTGCAGGTGGTGGTCGGTTCAAGAGTCCTTTGAGGTGATCCGCCCATTGTTTAATCTGTCTTTGTTCCTTGGTAATAGGGTTCACTTGACTGTCTTTTATAGGTTTCACTTGTGTTGATCTCTTCCCGGATAGAGACTTGGTTATCTGATATCATGTCCTCAGGTCCCTTTTGC